TATAAAGTATATATATATATATATATATATATATATATATATATATATATATATATATATATATATATATATATATATATATATATATATATATATATATATATATTTATATAAGTATATGTTAGTATACTTTAGATCCATTTTCCTTGAGTACCTTTTTTCAAACAATTTTCAGCAAAATCAAGGAAATGCATGTAGCTGTCATTGTCGTTGATAGCCTTACAAAGTGTAGTTTCATTTAGTGCAAAGCCCATGCGGTGTTCGCAGCTTATTCTTTGTACTGCATATTTGGGACAATCTATTAGCACATGTTCAATTGTTTGTGGTGTTGACTGGTCACAGTCACAGCATGGGCTTTGCGTCAGTTTAAATTTACATAGATACGCCTTAAAACCTCCATGTCCAGTAAAAATTTGACATCTCATATTATTAATCTTGATATTCTTCATGGTTTTGTAAGCTTGCTTAACAGTTGTGAAGAACTTCTTTGTCACTTGTCCCGTTAGTGCTGTTGTATATCTTTCTTGCCAAATTAGCAAAGATTTGTCCCTGATGGAGCGCTTTGCGAAAGAGAGAGGAAAACAGTCGTACACTGGAGTCTGCTTCAGTGTCTCCGCGGCGGACTTTGCGAGCTCATCTGCCCTCTCATTACCTGGAATGCCGCAGTGGGCTTTGATCCAAAAGAGTCTAACTTTGCCTTGATTGCTTTCTATTTCTCGCATACTTTCCATAATTTTTGCTGCGAGGGGGGTGTAGTGCATTAGGGTTAGTGAGACTTTCCAGCGCCGATTTAGAATCACTGAGGATGTTTGCCATTTTTAGTGTTTTGTTGCTTAGGATTATTTCTGTGGCTTTTAGTATAGCTGCTAATTCTGCTTGATATACACTACAATGATCGCCAAGACGTAATCTGGATTTATATATTTCTTTCCCGTCTTTCCAGCAGGTGATAGCTGCTCCCACTTTGCCTGTAATCTTGCTCCCGTCAGTATATATGCAGGGCCAGTCATTTCCGATAGAGTCAAGATCTTCCTCTGCAGTTATTAAGTTATAAGGTTGGTTCACGCGTTTGGCTGGATGAGGTAGCGAGTACGGACTTACAGCTTTTGCTAGTTCCCTGCCTGGTAATTGTTCCAGTGGTTTCCCCCTTTTAATTCTAAATAGGTCGGCGTTTTCTTGTGCTCTTAGGTCTAGGGGAAGAATTCTAGCTAAAGTGGCGCATGAAATTAAAGAAGAAGTACGGTGTGCTTTACATATCAGTATACTGAAAGTTCTCGTTATCCTGTCAAGCCTGGTTTTTATTTGTTTCTTATTTGCCACATGTCCCCATACACTTGCAGCATACAATACGGTTGGTTCTACTACAGTTATGTAGATTGTCCTAAGAATTTCAGGATTCAGGCCCCAGTTTGTTCTTGCTGTTTTTGCCACTTTTTTATAAAGTTGGATTGCTTTTTCAGTTACCCTGTATACATGTTTAAGGAAATTTAGGTTGGCGTCAATTGTGAGTCCAAGTATTGTTATCGTGTCAGAGATAATTATTTCCGTTCCTCCCAGTACTATCTTTGGATTTTCGAATTTCGTTTTTTTTGTTATCAGTATAGCTTGAGTTTTCTGGGGTGCCAGTTTCATTTTTCTCTTTTTTTGCCCATTTTATGATGTGGTTTAATACCGGGTTTAGCTCATTTTCTAGATCTTTTGCTGATTTTCCTTTAGCTATTATCGTTATATCGTCTGCGTATGCTTGAATGTATGTTCCTAGACCTTCAACTTCTGTTAGTAATGGGTCGAGCTGCAAGTTCCATAGCAGGGGTCCGCAGGTAGATCCCTGTATGCAGCCTTTGTTAGTTTCCTTTACCACCTCATGACCAGCATAAGTGAGTTTTATTTGCCTGTCCTGTAGATAACTGCTTATTAACCTGCATATTGATTTATCTACTTTCTTATTTTCTAGCTCGTTTATCATTCCGGGCCACCAGGCATTGTCAAATGCGCCCTCAATATCAATGGAGATGACGACCACAATTTCCTTTCGTTTTAAGCCTTGTTTTACAATTTCCAGGGCATCATACAGGGCGTCTTCTGTACCGCGCTGGGCAACAAAACCATACTGCCGCCCGCTCATTTTGTTTTCGGACCATAATTGCCACATCATTCTATTAACAAATAGCTTCTCTAGTACTTTCCCAAGGACAGGTAGAAGGCCAATTGGTCTATGAGACTTTGGGAGGGTATAGTTTTCCTTGTTTGGCTTTGGAATCACTCGAATTATCGCTCTTTTCCAAACTTTAGGAAAATGCCCAAGTAGAAGGCATTTAGTGTATATGGCTAGTAGGATTTGTGGAGCCGCCTCATAGGCTCTGAAGCATATGTCAGATGTAAGGCCGTCTTCTCCAGGCGATTTTTTAGGGCTCATGCTTTTAAATATTTCTTCAATTTCAGTGTTGGTGAATGGGATTATTACATCTTTATTCTGGTTATTGGCCCACTCTTTCCTATTATTTTCTGACTTGTTTCTTATTTCTGTGTGTATTTGTTCGTCTGATTGTATGTCATCGTTAGGGTAGAAAATATTTGATAAGAGCTGTGCAGATTGTTTTGGGGTCGTTATCTCACTAGTTGCTGTTTCCCGTAATAATGTGTCTTCAGGAGTTTTGTGAGATTTACGTATCACCCTGTAAATACTTTGCCACATATTCTCCCGGTCTTGCCTAGTACAGAATTCTTTCCAGCTCGATGTTATAGCTTCTTCTAGATGATTTTTGTATTCCGCTTTGGTTATAAGATATTCCTCAATTACTGTCTGTTTCCTGTTTTTGTTAGCAAATTTAATTTTTCTTCTTTTTTCGTATGAGTTCTTTTTTCTTTTCGTTTAATTCCTTTGTCCACCATGGTGTCTTTGAGGGTATTCTTTGAGATAACTTTGGGATTGTTATATCACAAGATTTTCGTAGGCATTCAACGTACTGCATGATCAAGTCTTCTAAGGCCCATGTTGTTGCTATGTTCATGGTTGCTTCTTCAGTGATATTAATTGACTGTAGTTCTGTTTGTAATGTGGCGGTGAATCTGTTCCAATCCGCTTTGCTGGTATTATAGATGCGGGTAGATTTCCGCTGGTTAGGTTGCCTTATTGAATTCCCAGGTTCTACATCAAACATAATCGCTCTGTGATCCGACAGAGTGACAAAGTCAGGATTAACCCTCCAGTTTAATATTTTGTGGTATATGTTGTTAGAGCATGCGGTTATGTCCACAATACTTGTGTAGTCTTTATCTCCTCTGTGTGCCCAAAATGTTGGTGTACTTCCTGTGTTAAGTATGTTTAACCCCAGTTGGGCTAAGGTCTCAGCAACGGCTGTTCCCCGTCCATCTTCCACGCTACAACCCCACCAGGGACTTTTTGCGTTTATATCCCTTCCAAATATGACATGGTCGTTTCTCAGTGTGTCAATGGATTTTGATATCTTTCTTAAATCTTCATCGATGTTTTGGCCTTCTTCCATATAAGCGTTCACAATACTAATATCTAGGTTATTAATTTTAAAATTACACGCGACAATGTTTTCGGTAATAGTTTCAGGGTTTATAGTATATTGTATGGACGGGTCAACGACAATGACAGCTGACTTGACCGGTTTTTGTGTGTCTGTAGTGTATTTTTGTATAACTGCATGACGGCTGGTAACGTGTGCTTTTGCTCCTACATAGGGTTCCTGTATTAGGAGAATAGCCACTCCTTGCGTTTCGGCCGCCTGCAGGCATTCTTGTTGGGCTAATTGTCCCCTACCGAGATTGATTTGGGCAATTTTTATTTTTCCATACTTTCTGCTCGAAGGTCTTTGTGAGGAAACGTCGGTGACTTTAGCAATACGTGATCGTTGCTCTTGCTATCCGATCCCATTTCCTCCATTCCAGACATTCTGAGCTATATGCAGGGTGTGCACTCTTCGTGTCACACTCATTCTTTTCTACGCAGTTTTTGCACTTAGGCGCTTTATCTCTATTGTGACACTCTCTGGTGTCATGTTCCTCAGCGCAATACCCACAGCATGTTTTTTGAGCTTGGCACTCTCGTACTCGATGAGAAAACCCAAGACATCGATAGCACTGAGTAACCGGTGACTGATCAACTGCCGGGACTATCTGAAAGCCGAGTCTGATTTTCTTGTCTCTCAATTTGCTCCAGATTTGTGAGCTTACTTCGAGTATGATGTTACTTGTGGAGCTAGTTCTACCCTTTATTCTTCTTACTACTCTGACGTATTGTTGCGTTGATGAGATGCCTTGTAAAAGAGTGCTGTTTTGTTTTATTATTGCTTCTTCGATCTTTTTATCGGTGAGGTCAAAAACCACACCTATTAGGCGTAGGAGTGGGTTCTTAATAGTCGGCCTATAGACCGTCAGCTTGGCTGTGTTGTTCTTTAATCTTTCTTGGAGGATGCTTCTGTCCTCTTCAGATTCACAGCTAATGAGAACTTTTTGATTTTTCGCTTTTCTCATGTTACTGATGCCGATCCCAAGCCCGACTACGTCGATCCCGCTCTTGACCTGTTTTATGATATCATCGCTAGTGTTCCTAGGGTCAGCCGATTCCACTATCACCGGATAATGTGGCTTCATCACCACCTCTGAGAATGTACGTGTGAAACTTTTATGCTTGAATACTGTTGCTTGATCTCTTTTCTCGTAATCGTTTATATCATCCCCTTTTAGTTGAGAGTTGTTACCAGTGAAGTCTGCTTCATTTACACCTGGTTGGTTCTTTAGCTCTTTTCTGAGGCTCTCTATTGCAACTCTAATTGGAGCTGCTGAATCCACCGTGGTGTCTCGCAGTTCTCTCGTCTCTCTTCTCAGTTCTTCCAGGTTTGCCTGGACTGAGGGTAGCTGAGAATTGAATGAGGCATCAGTTATTCCTTTGATATCTCTCGTTATCTTCAGGATTTCGTGCCTTAATTCTGCTACCTCTGCTGTTATTTGTGCTTTGATTTCTGAGATATGATCCTGAAGTTCCTCGATAAATTTTTTGTGATGTTTTTCCGATAACATCTCTTGGTTTGGTATCTCTGGGCTGTGTTCACTACTTTGTGTCTGCGGGATTACCCTATCTTTGGTGAGTTCTCTAACCGCCTGACGGAGTTCCTGCAGCTCTTCGGCGAAGCGAGATAAGTCAATTTCTTGACGAGTAGGGTTCTTAAGGGTTCGGTGTTCGCCCGAAGTTGCTTTAGTTCCTCCATCAAGAATTGCATCTGACTCGAGATGGATGAACCTAGGGTGATTTCTTTACGTACATTGACGATTTCTTTCTTTGTTGCCGTTACCGCCTCACAAAGGTCATACGAGACAATTGATCGGGTAGATTCTGTTTCTTTCAAAAGCTTTTCTACGTTCTCTTTTAAGTTAGCATATTGTCCTAAAGTCTCGTGCATGAACCTTGCATGCCTTTGTGTGAGCCTTTCTGATTCACGTGAGACATTTAGTTTTTGTTTGCTGGATTCAAGAATGTGTAAAATTCTCGAATCAGACAATTTGAGGACCATTTCATATAATGTATACATCCCCGAGACGACACTTTCCCGGATTTCCCTCTTTAGATTTCCAGATTTTTCCAACTCTGCCTTCGTTCTTTGCAGCACTTCATTGGCATGTCTGGGCAAATCATTAAGGAGCATCCGGTTTCCTCCAATTGACCTCGTGGAAGTATTGAGGGACGTGTTAGTGTCTCCACTGTCAATATCCGACTCTGCGGTGTCTTCAGTCTCCGACAACGTTTTTAGGGCTTCTTTGGCTTCTGCAGCCCTCGCCTGTTTAATCTGTGTGCGTATTCGTAAGAGGCTTGCACCAGTCCTTGATAACACAGGAGATGATGATGTTGCCTCGTCGAGATTTGGTGAAGAGTAAAGCAAGTCTGAGGTCTGCGGTCCCTGTTCATCCTTTTCTGCACTCCACCCTGTCTGGTGGTGCAGTTTTTCGGCTTCCTCTATTTCCAAGAGGTTCAAAACCTTTTCACCCTGTGTTTCCTGAGTTGGTAACTCTGCTGTCTTTGTGTCTATATCGGTATGAACTTGGCCGGAGCCCTTTATGGTTTTTGTCACAGTTTTCCTTTTGATTGAAGGTGGTTTATCTGTACTGCCAGTTGCTGTTCTCTTTGGTTTGTCCGCCATTTCTAAACAACCTCAAGTTATAGAGTTCTAAATGCACTTGAGGTAACCGAAAACCGCGTTAAAATCGGACTATTAAAAATGAAGTTACACGCCTTTAAAGATATTCAAGATGGCGGATGACTTGACCAGTTCGGGTGATTTCGGTGGTAACTTAGGATTTTAGGGAGCTATTTAACTTTAATAATGTTGAAAACCGCGTTCAAATCCGACCACTGGTTCGGGAGTTATAGCAAATATAAATTTTCAAGATGGCGGTCCAAGATGGCGGTCGATAATTTAAAAACGATCTATTTCCCTGTCCACCAGAGGTAAATTATTCGTGTTTGGGCTTGTTAAAATTGTCTTTGCACTAAGTATTTGAATATATCGCCAGTTTGTGCGATTTTTGGCGATTGTTCTTTTTGGTCCTAAATTATTCTAAAGACAATTTAAAGATGACTATTGGAAACCCCACGCTTCTGCGATGAACCGTTTCCGAGATATGAGCCAAACAAGATTTTCAATATGGCGGACAAAATGGTGGAAAAACGATAAATCTTTATATCTCAGCAACGGGAAGTGCTATGATGGTCGTGTTTGGGCTTTAATTTTGTGGAATTACACGGGCAAGCCAACTGTGATATGTAAATTAGCGAAAAGGGAACAGATACTGAAATTTCCTGAAAAAACACTGAAAACTTTATATCTCTCTAACGAAAAGTGATACAACCGTTCTGAAAACGGATTCTTTTTCGGTTTTTAGTGCTCTACGATTTCCTTGCGATAAAAATATCGCCAGACTGTTAACCTGTACGCTCTGACAGCGCGCGACACGTTATACTCCCGTTCGCTCAGGACCTCAAAATGGCGGGAAATGAAAAAATTTCCCTAACTTGCAAATTCTGCTATATTTTGTCTTTAAGACAATATTTTTGAATAAAACTTACAGGAATTCTTCTTGAATGTATAAACTATCGAATAAAATAATTTTTGGATGTTAGATATAGTAATAAAATTCATAAATTACCCTTTGAATTGCATAGTAGTAGTAAATACTCCACTTTTAGCCACGAAAATATTAATAAAATAATTTCCACAAGTTTGTTTTTCAAGTAATCTATATGAAAATGTTTGGAAATAAATATAGTTTTATGTTTTTATGTGTTTTTATTCGTAACCGATACAAAAAAAACAAATAAATAGGAATCAAACATAACCCTTGTTTTCCGAAATTCAATTTTATTATATGAACTTTGAAACACTATTTCTCTAATATTTTTTGCGATTTTGAAATAAATACAACACCAAATTATTTGAAATATGTAATATAATTATTTTTTATTTACATTATACAGTAAAAATAAATGAAAATGGAAAAATAACACATTTTTTACTCAACCACGAAAACGTAAGTTTTTCAACATAAATTCACATATAACACACTCAAATATGTTTCGACACAAATGAAATATGTTTAGAAAAGTACATTTTTATTATTATTTACAATAAACATATACAATTCAATGCACAAAATACAAAACACAAGAAATAAAATATATTTGAACAAATGTATGGAGCAAATAGTGATGTGGCGTCGCTGGTATATTTATCGATAATTTTTTGCAATGTAGCCGGCAATAATCAAATTCGGTTGTTTGACTTTTTGTAATGATTTTATATTAAATTTACAATAAATTTATTCTTTTACAATTTCTGAATGAATTTTTATAGAACCAGCATGGTGGCGATCACCGCATTCACATGGGTTATTATAATAACCCTTTTTGTACTATTTTTCTTTTCAAATTAAACATTCTTTCAGTCCACATTCTTTCAGTCAACATTCATACCCATTCATATCCTTCTTGAACCCACTACTGAGGACGGGGAGGAGACCGGAGACCCTTATTACTGGAAACGAGGCATTCCATCTTAGTCCTCATAGGTCACGGAAAGATGTAGATGTCAAAGGGCCAGTGCAAACACATACCATCAGTTGGACTGTGTGCTCGTTTGTCACCCTTACCTATAAAAAAAAAGACAAAGAGGAGGAGACCGGAGATCCCTTTTTACTGGAAACGAGGCATTCCATCTTAGTCCTCACAGGTCACGGGGGATAGATGTAGATGTCTAAGGGCCGCTGCAACCGCTTACCATCAGGTGGACTGTGTGCTCGTTTTTCACCGTAAACTATAAAAAAAATGAAAGGAAGGAAGAAAAAAGGGAAGGACCACGCTCTCACAGAATACAAGCTCGATACTGGTGAGGTAGAGGAGACCAGAAACCCTTTGTACTGGAAACGAGGTCTTCCATCTTAGTCCTCACAGATCACGGGGGAGTAGATGTAGATGTCTATGGGCCACAGCAATCACCTACCATCAGGTAGACTGTGTGCTCGTTTATCACCCTAAAGAAACCGGAGAGCCTTTGACCCTTTTTACTGGAAACGAGTCATTCCTCACAGGTCAATGGGCCACACCAACCACTTACCATCAGGTGGAATGTTTGCTCCTTTGTAACCCCCTTCCATTACAATCACCCTCCACGAATTTCACAAAACTCCGTAAATACCTTTACGGAGTTTCATGAAATTCTTCAAAACAGTCACTCATACAGAGCGCCAGCCCACACTGCTTACACTCATACGACGTGAGTACTCTGCGGTGCTTCTGTTCCGTGCACCACACACACGCACGTCGTCTGTATATCTTTGGCGGTCTCTCCGCCGCATCTGCCGTTGTCTCTCGACTTGGCATGGGTATGCGGCGAATGTAGTGGCGCTCTGTCAGCCTCTGTAATGGAAAGGTAGGGTGTCTATTGTGTTGAGCAGGGATTGGCTGGCGAGGTACCATTTTGAGATGGCGGTTTATAATGCCGTCAACCAACGCCAACCGAAACGCTACGGAATCGAGTTTGGTGTTGGTTGATTTCTCAACAATGACCCTTGCGTTTTGAATGGAAACATTCAAAAGGCGTTTGAAAACTTTCCGGTTCCATTTCAAACATTGTTTCCGCTCGACTAGATAGGCCTCCAGCATCGAGTCAAGGCGGTCAACTCCCCCCATGTACCGATTATAATCGTTTATCAAATCGAGCTTGTATTGTGCAGTGTGGCCCGAACGTCCGGCAAATAGTTGTTGCGAGACGCCATGGTATGTTGAGATACAAGTCACTCGCTTGCGATCTTGTAGCGCAACAACCATGACGTCGTCGGACGCACGGGCAATAAATTGCCCTTCCTGTAAGGGTGCACGTTTGATGGCTTCTGGAACCCCTTTGCGAGTCGGCCGCAGGGTACCGACGCAGTCCGTGTTGCGGCGTTTTAGCCAACGAGCCAGGGAGGGGGAATTGAACCAATTGTCCATGTACAGCGTGTGCCCCCGGTTGAGGATAGGTTGTATGAGCCTCAACACAGAGGACACGCTGACCGGTACCCTACTCCCTGTCTCGCGGCCCGCATACACGAAGAACGACCAAAGGTATCCTGTGGCCGACTCGCACAGTTGCAAGGTTTTTATACCAAACTGGGCTGCCTTGGACTTTATGTATTGTTGAAACCTAACTGGCCCTTTCCAAAGAGTTAGCGATTCATCAATACATATGTTCCCGTCCAGCTGGTATAACTCCTGGAACTTGGCATTCAAATGGTCGATAATGGGACCCATTGGGTGCAGCAGATTATTAGGGTCTGTCCCCTCGGCCAAATGAAATGCCGCATTGAGGTTCCAGTAGCGGCCTTCCGTGAATAATGCGCGAAATACGTCAGTCCTCAGTAGTGGGTGCTTGCAGAAACATGATTTAATGCTTGGCATTCTAACAATGCCAAGCATGATCCAAAATGCCATTAGCGCCCAGATTTCATGTAGATTGGTCTGAAACCAATCTTTCCTGAAACCTGGACGCTGCTGTGCCAAAACCGTCTCGGCATACCGGTTCGTTTCGTCAGCAATATGGGCCATGATGTCATCGTCCAGATGGCATGCATGGCCTCATATGGATCGTGAAACAAAACGGTAGGCCCAGTCTGTTCTGGCACAAAATGGCATTGCCTGCCATTCCACTCGTTCATCCCTCGCCACTCAAAACTATTATCTTCATCCCAATCCCATTCATTCTCCCTCACATTCTCCTCTTCCTGATTTGCAGTTATCCTTCTTCTTTCGTACCTCTCCCTTCTAATGGAATGATCACGGATTTGCCCCTGAATATCCAAGGGCAAATCCGTGTCATTTAAGAAAATTTGCACGTAGGGTGCTCCACGCAACCAACCCACGCTTCGGCCACGGCCACGGCCACGTCCACGACCACGCCCGCGTACAGACGCGGTCCCTCGCCGCTGACGTGCCGCCGCCGTGTCCAACACCTCCACCACGAAGCGGGGTGCGGGGCCTGGAGCACCCTCTGGAGCTAAATACTGTTGAAAAATCAACACGTTGTTATTGTGCTGCAAACTATATATATATATATATATATATATATATATATATATATATAAACATTAATATACATAAGTAAATATATATATACATATATATATATAAAAATATTTATATATATAAACATTTATATACATAAGTAAATATTTATATTTTATATAAATATATATGAATTTATATAATATATAAATAAATATTTATATTTACATAAGTAAATATATGTAAATTTATATAACATATATAAATTTATATAATATATATATAAATAAATATTTATATAAACATAAGTGAATATATATAAATTTATATATATATATATATATATATAAAAATATTTATATATATATATATATATATATATAAAAATATTTATATATATATATATAAACATTTATATACATAAGTAAATATATGTAAATTTATATAACATACATAAATTTATATAATATATATATAAAAATATTTATATATATATAAACATTTATATACATAAGTAAATATTTATATTTTATATAAATATATATAAATTTATATAATATATAAATAAATATTTATATATACATAAGTAAATATATGTAAATTTATATAACATACAAAAATTTATATAATATATATATATATATATATATATATATATATATATATATATATATATATATATATATATATATATATATATATAAAAAATAAATATTATATAAAATATATATATATATATATATATATATATATATATATATATATAAATATTTATATTCACTTATGTTTATATAAATATTTATTTATATATATATATATATATATAAATTTATATAATATATAAATAAATATTTATATATACATAAGTAAATATATGTAAATTTATATAAATATATATATATATATATATATATATATATATGTATATATAAATAAATATTTATATAAACATAAGTGAATATCTATATATATATATATATAGATATTCACTTATGTTTATATAAATAAAATATATATAAATTTATATAATATATAAATAAATATTTATATATACATAAGTAAATATATGTAAATTTATATAAATATATATATATATATATATATATATATATATATATATATATATATATATATATATATATATATATATATATATATATATATATATATATATATATATATATATATGCGGGGCCTGGTACAGCCTCCGGAGCAGCCACTGGAGCTGCAGCCGGAGCCGGAGCAGGTGACCCCTGTTGAAATAATAAACACATTTTTATTTGGCTGCAAACATTTATATATAATAAATATAAATAAATATTTATATAAATACTAGCTGAAATATAAAAATTTACATAGAAACGTTTCATTACTGATGTTTTGTTATACTTACTTCCACTCTGCGGGGTGCGGGGCCTGGTACAGCCTCCGGAGCAGCCACTGGAGCTGCAGCCGGAGCCGGAGCAGGTGACCCCTGTTGAAATAATAAACACATTTTTATTGGGCTGCAAACATTTATATATAATAAATATAAATAAATATTTATATAAATACTAGCTGAAATATAAAAATTTACATAGAAACATTTCATTACTGATGTTTTGTTTTACTTACTTCCACTCTGCGGGGTGCGGGGCCTGGTACAGCCTCCGGAGCAGCCACTGGAGCTGCAGCCGGAGCCGGAGCAGGTGACCCCTGTTGAAATAATAAACACATTTTTATTGGGCTGCAAACATTTATATATAATAAATATAAATAAATATTTATATAAATACTAGCTGAAATATAAAAATTTACATAGAAACATTTCATTACTGATGTTTTGTTATACTTACTTCCACTCTGCGGGGTGCGGGGGCTGGTACAGCCTCCGGAGCAGCCACTGGAGCTGCAGCCGGAGCCGGAGCAGGTGACCCCTGTTGAAATAATAAACACATTTTTATTGGGCTGCAAACATTTATATATAATAAATATAAATAAATATTTATATAAATACTAGCTGAAATATAAAAATTTACATAGAAACGTTTCATTACTGATGTTTTGTTATACTTACTTCCACTCTGCGGGGTGCGGGGCCTGGTACAGCCTCCGGAGCAGCCACTGGAGCTGCAGCCGGAGCCGGAGCAGGTGACCCCTGTTGAAATAATAAACACATTTTTATTGGGCTGCAAACATTTATATATAATAAACATAAATAAATGACTGATGCTATAAATATAACTTACAGATACCTCCGCAGTCTCTACCACCAACTCCAACAGGTCCCCCCATGACCCGTCGGACCGCATGTAGTACATTGGCATGTTCTGTTGAAAAATGAACCCGTTAATATCTATAAGTGTCTATTTATCTACACTTGTGTGTGATGTTACAATATAAATATTACTTACAGATACATCCCAGTCACCTTGTTCCCCAACCTCTTCATCGATGACCGCCTCTTCCTCCATGACCACTTCTTCGGCTTCCTCCTCATCGAGAAGGACATCGATGAAGACCTGGGGAACTGGGTTGTTTCCGGGGTTCCACATGCTAAAAAAGAAAATAATAATTGTTACATACCATAGTACATAGTTATGCCTATGATATTATATATATATTCATGTTATATTATAAATATATGATATATAGGGATAAATATATATATATTCAGCAGAGAATATATAGACAATAGGGTCATATTATGTTATTATATCAGCAGAAATTGCTATATACATACTGAATTTATCCAAATGAAAAAAAAAAGTGAAGCACATGTCTGTACAATAAAAATACGTAAAATTTATCACTTTTTTTTTGTAAATATCTTCATATTGATCGCCTTGTCGATAAAATTCGCGCAATCCCTCCAAATATGCTAAATATGGCGAAATATTTGAATTGTTATATAGGTATTGGACCGTTTTATGAACAATTGTATAGGTTATGATACAATTTTGATAGGGAAAATGAACGAAATCTTGAAGAATATGAAATTATCTCGTAATTTCATTAAAATTTTACCGTATTCAATTAGATTTATCCGTAAAATATAGACATTTACATTTACTATTTCGTTTGAACTTTTCTACGTCATTTCGATTTCAAACTATTTTTAGCATTCACTTTTCACTTTATGCCACAAATTATATATCTACGGGTTTGTTATATAACAAGGATTACAAAAATGTATAATACTTACGTTTTTCTTGCAGACAAAACGATAAATTACTTTATAACAATGAGATCACTCGTGCACGACGCGCGATGCGTAATGGCGGAAATACAAAGTGATTTCTTTTTTTTTTGTTCTAAGAAACATTGCCAGGTTACGTTTTAAAATAAAAGAGCATATCCTTGTCTTTGGTACTATTATCAATTGCATAGTGTCTTTGGTTTTGTTTAAAACGAAAAAATAGTTTTTTCATAGGTATATAATTCTGATCTAATTCGATCACTACTTGGCGGGCGTAAGGTTGGTATGGCGCGATCGAAAGTGAGCTAGGCTTGGTTAACAGGTTAAAACACAGACCACGTGTTAGAGTGTTTTCAGGAAAATTGAAATAACTCGGAAAGTTTAAGTTCGAAAAATCCAGAACTTTGCAAATAGTTTAAGGATAAGTTTTGCAACTATATTATAAATTAAAAATAATATGTCGTCGCTAAGAATCACGCGCAATCAACGAGTGAAAATGAGCCAGTTTTAATAATTTTGCATTTTTGACTATATCTTCTGGAATACGATGCCGATTTCTGTGCCACAAGTACAGGATTATTGATTTATCAGTGTACTATAATAATGTGTGTTCAAATTCAACCGCACGATAGCGGTTTTAATTTTACACGCCACGTGGTTTTTCAGTTTTCGCCTAATTACTCCAAATTTAATTAGCGAAAAAATCCAGAACTTATGCCAAGTGATAGAGCTATATGAATGCCACAAAATGAGATATAAAAATCAGCAGGTCTTCGATCTAAAATGAGCGGCGTACGCAATTTAGTGTAAAATTTTTAGTGAAATTTTACCTGTTTTGCAGTTTTTCCGCTGTGTTTTGCTGAAATATCCTTGTGACACTTAACCTCCCACTAATGGAACAATCACTCGTGCATAGAACACACGGAGATACACGAGACAACACTTGTTTCACAGAAATCGGACAACTTTGACCTATTTTTCGGATTTTTCAAACGCGGAGCAACACGGAAACGATGCGTACGACACGGAAGACGGCGGAATACTAGGGGTTAGGTTAGGTTAGGTTAGGTTAGGTTAGGTTAGGTTAGGTTAGGTTAGGTTAGGTTAGGTTAGGTTAGGTTAGGTTAGGTTAGGTTAGGTTAGGTTAGGTTAGGTTAGGTTAGGTTAGGTTAGGTTAGGTTAGGTTAGGTTAGGTTAGGTTAGGTTAGGTTAGGTTAGGTTAGGTTAGGTTAGGTTAGGTTTTTTTTTTTTTGTATGTATTGCTGTTTTCCTCTGACATAGGAGGTCAGAGACATTGTCAGCTCGACACGGACTTTTAATTCTGATTTTTATTTCCTTGTCCTTGCTATAGTATAGGGTGTAGAGGACTCCGGGTTTTCGTTCGGGAGTCCTTCTACTCTTAACCTAATGCGAACAATGATGTGTTTGTCATAAACTTTACATTATATCTTATCTCTAGGCTGGATTTATTAATACATTTTTTTTTTCTTTTTAACAGTAGATTTGATACAAACTTATTACGTATTATTTTGTTATTTATTTACTACTAACTAATCTATTTTACTGAACTATATTTTTTCATGGCATACTTACATTCTAGACTGATTAAACTCCATCTCTTATCATTTTCTGGTCTTATGCAGCATTTTGTATGAATAGTTAATATATTACGTTTTAATATATACTATACATATTTCTTACGATTTTTTTTTTTAACTTAGTTTTCTATTGTATTCCTATGTCTTATTTTTAATCTTTACCTTTTTTACTATATCTTCACAGAATTTTATGAATTCTTTTCTTTCACTTTTCTTTGCTAGAATATCCATGATATTGCCTTCTGTAATTCTTATATTTATTTTCTGTTCCAGGTCCAACCTTTTATTACTGTACATTGGGCAGTCAATGAGCAAGTGCATCACCGTTTCTTCAACCTCGGGGTCACAAACACAACCAGCGCTTGTCCTACACTTAAAGCGATTTAGGTATTCTGCGAAGGCACCGTGCCCCGTAAATATTTGCACTAGTTCTGGTGATGGTTTAATTTTCCTTATTAATTTATACGCTGTTTCGGCATTTTTGAAGAATATTTTGGTGGTCGTAGCTGTCTCGCTGTTTGTGTACCGTTCGTTCCACTCCTGCACTGATTTTACCCTTATCATTCGTTTTATGAATGATATGGGGCATCTATCATATTGGGATGCTGTTTTCTTATATAGTGCCGCTTCTTTTGCTAAGTGGTCCGCTCTTTCGTTCCCTTGATGTCCCGCATGTGCCTTAATCCAAAATAACTTTACTGTTTTATTATCTTTTAAGATCTTAAGATTTTTTTCTGATTCCGCGGACTAATGGATGGAAGTTTTCCGGTGATTTCAATGATTGCAGTCCTGATTGGGAGTCGCTGTAGATGCTAAAGACACTGTCCTTATGCTTCAACATAAGTTCTGTGGCTTGGTATAGTGCGTAAAGTTCGGCTTGGTATACTGTGCAGAAGGATTCAAGCTTGAACTTTTTACTTAAAATTTCAGTGTTATCCCTCCACACAGATAGCGCTGCTCCTACCTTCCCGTCAATTTTACTCCCATCGGTGTATATCTGTGTCACCTTTAGCTTTTCTTTTGTTTCTTCCATCTTTTCCGGTTGTTTACTTTCTATTGTACTAAAAATTATTTCGTCTTCTGTGGCTGGGTGCTCGGCTTCTATATACAGTACCTTTTCTTCAACTTTTCTGTCTCCCAGGATGTCCTCCTGCGGTTTGCCACGTTTTGCTTCATACAGCCTTGCTGCTTCCCGCAAGCGGACATCCAGAGGTAACAGTCCCGTTAATATCAGTGCCGAATTCAGCGATACGGTCCTGTAGGCTTTACATATTTTTTGTGTGAAGCCCCGTTGCAAGGTGTTCAGATGTTTTTGCACGGTTATTTTTTTTGATGCACTTGCCCATACACTGGCTGCATAGAGCACGATCGGCTCGACGACTGACACATAGATGGTCCTGATGATTTCCGAATTCAATCCCCAAGAAATTTTTGCTGTCTTTACTAACTGTTTGTATATATTTGTAACCTTGCGACATATATGTACAACATGACTATGGAAGGTTAACTTTTTATCTATTATAAGGCCTAATAATTTAATCTCATCTACTATTTTTATGTTTGTTCCGCCCATGTGGAGTTGTGGTGTGTCGTAATTAAGTTTTTTGGTGATAATTATTGCATTTGTTTTGTGTGCAGCAAAACTAAGTTTGTTGCGCACACCCCAATCATACACAAGGGCAGAGTTCTATTTGCTTTTTCTTCAATTTTGGGGAATTCTTTGTCCGGAGAAGACCAGGACGACATCGTCCGCAAAGGCTTGGCAGTAAACTTGCTCCCTATCCATTAAGTCCAATAAAGGGTCCAGTAATAAATTCCAAAACGTAGGCCCCGCTATAGATCCCTGCACGCATCCTTTGGATGTGGATCTTTCGACTTCTTTATCTGCGTATCTTAACTTTATTTTTCGGTTTTCGAAATAGCTATTAACAACTTTGCGGAGGTTTTGGGGACACTTTTTCTCTAATAGTTGGCATTTTATGGCAGGCCACCAAGCGTTGTCAAAAGCTCCCTGTATGTCTAGAGATATAATAAGGCTTATCTTTTTATCTTTGAGGTTTACTCTTATGTGTTGCAACAGATCATACAGGGAGTCTTCCGTACTTCGCTGGGGCACAAACCCATATTGCCTTGGATTACTTTTTAGCAAGATGTGCCATCGTAGTCTTTTAACTATCAGTTTTTCTAAAATCTTACCTAATATTGAAAGCAATCCAATGGGTCTATAGGCCTTGGGGTGGGTATAGTCATTTCTACCAGGCTTTTTGAGGACTATTACAACAGCCTCCTTCCATGGTGTTGGATAATGAGCAAGCTGCAAGCATTTGTTGACCATTGATAGAAAGAGTTCTTCATTTGTTCCTATTGCCGCAGTACATATATCCATTGTAAAACCGTCAGATCCAGGTGCCTTTTTAGTACTAAAACTTCCCATAACGTTTCTTAGTTCAGCTTTAGTGAATGGCGGATCCTGTGTGTCATTTGGTTGGTATTGCTGTAGATTATTAGCTTTTTCTCTTACTTTTCCGTGTTCAGTATTATCTACACTACTGTCATCTACTGGAAAAAAGCTATCTGCTAACCATGCTGCCGATTCATCAGGACACAAGGCCTTTCCGCCATTCACTAATAGCTGATCCTGTTGTCTTTTAGGTGTTTTTCTAATAACCCTGTATATCCTATCCCAGAAACTTTCGCGATCCTGTTTTGTACAGTACTCCTTCCAACTATTTGTTTGTGCACTAAGTGCCTCTTTTTCATATTTCATTTTTGCCTCCAGATATTGCTGTACTACGTGTTCCCTTCTATGCCTTGCAGCACATCGAACTCTTCTTCGTTTGGTAATCATTGCCCTTTTCATTTCTTCTAGTTCTCTAGTCCACCATGGTATGTATGTTTTTTCTTTTGTATTTAGTTTCGGAATATTTTCTTCACATGCTTTATTTATACCCTCAATATATGAAGCTATAATGTTTTCCAAAACCTCCCTTGATACAATTTTTTCGACTGCTGCTATTTCAATTTTATTTTCTTCTAGATAGTTATTAAATGTTGTTTTAAAATCTGTCCAGTTAGCTTTTTTAGTGTTATAAATTCTAGTGGTTTGAATTTTCTTTTTTCTTGCGGTTTATCTAAGTTGACCGAGGAAACTATTGCATTATGATCTGAACTTATTAAATCTTTGTCCACCCTCCAATCTTGAATATGACTTAATAAATTTTCGTTACATGCTGTTATGTCTACATGACTTGTGTATAATTTGCCCCCTCTGATTGTATCAAAAGTAGGTTCTGTTCCTTCGTTTAATATATGTAGACCCATTTCGTCCAATGCTTCCTGTAGTGCCATACCTCGATGATCTATTGAAGTGCTTCCCCACCAGGTGTTCCATGCATTTGAATCTCCACCAATTAATGTATATTTAG